TTGAACAGGAGGTGCCCCCCTGGCTTCAGGAGGCAACTGATGTTCCTGAAGGCCGATCGGTAGGCGGGGATGTCTTTGCAAGCTGCATCAAGGCACAAACTGGAAACCAGACAATCTGCAGGAGGAAGAACCAAGGGGGCCAAAGGGTTGGGTTGGGTCACGTCGCATTTCAGGTACCGCTTGACGGCTCTTCGGACTTTCTCTTCCTTCTCTGGCCATTTGTCCCTGGGGGGGAAGAAAGGAAGAATGTCACCTGCCTACCTTCAAACCTTAGTCAACCTAGAGTTGGCCTTCTTTTTATGGATGGTTTCAAGAACAGGGAAACCCTTCTCTCTAGAAAATCTCCTTCTTGCCTAGGTTCAAATATCAATCTGGAAAGGTTGAGGATGGTGTTCCTCCACATTGGCAATTCCTAAGATGTTTGGGTTTCAACTCCCAGAATTCCCCAAACAACACAAGAAATCCCAGTCTTGAGTGTTGCCCATGGAAAGCAACAGACATGTAACTTCCATGGCAGTCACCAATCTCTTTCTCTTTTTACCACTACCTCAGAGATGGGGAGGGGGCTATAAATAATTTCAATAAACTGATTGTGAGCTATGAGTGACTATGTCATCCTGAAAATTTCATAACTTCTGTCCCTTGATTAAATGATCAAGATGGAAATAGGTGATGGCAGCCTTTGTGTGAGAACAAAGGATGGGGACCACTGGTGTCCTTACCAGGTTAATGGGTAAGAGCAATGAGTGATCCCACCGGGCATTTGGGCCAAGTAAAGCAAGGAGGAGAACATCAAAGTATGGAGGGTTGAATAGGCTGCAAACTTTGATTCTTCATCTTTCTGAGTCTGATGCAAGAAGAACCTGAGAAACTCAGAACATGAGATGGAAGCCAATGGAGTGTTGACTAGATGGAGATCCCACCAGGAGTGAAAGCTTGGGAAGGGGAGATCCAAAGAAGAACTGGATCATTGAGAAGGAGAGGATCCTGTAGATCCTGCAGAAGACTTAAACCAGAGACCGAGTCTGGAACAACTGGTTCTCCCCTTCCCATCTGCTCAGAAGAAACTGTGGGCTTCTTCCCACTTTCCTGTCCCAGCAGGATGGGCCCAAAAGCCAAGTCTCAATCTCGGCGGCAGCTAGCCTTGCTTCCTGAAAGAGACGCCCCTTTGGTTCTTCCATGTGGACTCTTCTGGTCTGCACAATTACTCTCCTGTTAAGCTCCTGACTGCAACATCTCCCCATTTTCACCACACATACGGATTAGCCAAAGTTAAAAGAAAAGGATTTGGTTGGCTCCTCTAGTTGAATCTTAGATAATCTTAGTCTTAAAGACTTCCAAAGGAAAAGCTAAGTTCTTCCTCTACCTACCTGTCTCCTTCCAACTCACAGACGTATTTCACGATGGGGGTCCAGTCAAAGGCCCCCGGCTCCTTCTTCAGCCATCGCTGCATCTCTTCCCAGTTCTGGTCAGCACAATCAGTGGCTATGATCTCCCGGAAGGACTCGCAGGCGGAGAGGAACTGGTAGATGGATGCACCACTGCCAATGTCGATCAGGGTGTCTCCCTTGATGCCATCTGGAGCAGAAGAGGTATTCAGCAGGTTCTCCTTCCCTTCCCTTCTTAGCATTCCCATGAACCTGTCTCCAACCCACCTGTTTCTCCATTCTTAGGAAGAAATAAACACACATGAAAGAGATTGGGGAAGCTTCTTCGTTGTGTTTCATTTCCAGATCAGTCTTCCCAAAAGGTCGAAGAATAGAGGATAAAATTACAGGATTAGAAGGGATGTTTGTGACCATTTTGACACCTGCCTTTTGTAAGCTACTTTCATTCTTTGGCTGTTTGTACCCTGGAGAGGACCTCTAAGTGGTGCAGGTTATGATCAGCAGAATTGTGAAGATGGAACCTTGACTTTGAGATCTCCCTCCTGGCTCCTCCTGAGCCTCTCAGATCAACAAGCATCCCTTACCCTTCCCCAGGTTAACGTTGGGGAAGTCAAGACTTACCTACGGTGAATGCCCTGTGAGCCCCTCTCAGGAAAAAGGTTACAAACTGACCCATTCCTTCATCCACAAGGCTAACGTTGTAGTACTTTTCCAGATGGTCCCTGGGATCGAAATGCTGAGCGTAAAAATCTTTCCCTGTGTAAGTCTCTTCCATCTTCCCAAAAATACTTTTACTGACTTCTGGTTGTTCCTTTCATGCTCTGAGGATTATTATACTTTGGCCCTGGCTGGCTCCACCTCCTTATTTCCCTTACAGATACATTCCTCAAGAAACCAAACTGTTGTATCTCTTTTGCCCATTTCCTGATTTGAAGCAAGGAACTGACCGCTCCGTTTTATGCAATCAGATGTTCTCCCTTGGAAGAGAGGCAGCAGAAGACCCCCTCTCAGGACAAAGAAAGGAAGGGGGAAAGGGAGGGCTGGATCCTCTTGTGGTTGAGCCAGAGAAACCAAAGAGGCATGGCAGAGAAGAGGTCTTACATGCCAGGGCAGATAGCCAAACCGTCAGGCTCCACGTCTCCTTTCTTACTGTCCGACCTCTTTCCCAGAATCATAGGGCTGGAACTTCCAGCCTGGAAGGGACCTCAAAGATCTTCCTCTCCCACCCCCTCCCTGCTCAAGGCATGAGTCCTATACCATCCCACTCAAATGGCTGGCCCCCCACAAGCCAAGAAGACAAGCTATTCCGTTGGCCAATTGTTCTCACTGTCAGAAATGTCTCCTTATTTCTAAGTTGTATGTCTCTTTGACAAGCTTCCACCCATTACTTCTTCTCCTGACCTCGGGTGCCCTAGAGAATAAGTCAAAATAGGTAGTTTGTGCCCTGAGCTGCCTTGATCCTCAGGGCTGTGGGAGCTCTTCTTCAAAGCCAAACACTCTAAACTGATTGGACAGGACAAATTCTGGGTAGGACTTTTCTCTGGAAAAATCTGAGGAATGTCCTCTGTTCTCCCGAATGCCTTCTCTGTTCTCAGAAACATTTTGGGTTCTGGGCATTGAGCCATCTCCTGTGTCCAAGTAAGGGAAACCCAGCAAAAATGGATCTTGTGATAATGGAGATGATCTTCTTCTTCTTCTTCTTCTTCTTCTTCTTCTTCTTCTTCTTCTTCTTCTTCTTCTTCTTCTTCTTCTTCTTCTTCTTCTTCTTCTTC